GTCTGACATCGCTGCTACAAACTCGGGTCTACAACTCGGGCTTTCAATTGAAAACCCGAGTTGAAAACCCGAGTTTGTAGCAAAGATGTCAGACAAGATATGAAATGTTTTTTATTAGCTCGCAATTTTCTTCAAAACTACTTCAATGAGGAAAAAAATAAAAATTTGGAATATCGATACATGAGGGANAGCCAAAGGGTCAGATATTCGGGTTTTCCGGGGCAAGTGGATTTTCGACAAAATCGAATTTTTTAGCCGGGTGAACGTTTATTCCAACTATTTAAGCGCCGGGCTAGTCAGAACTCTCAAAAGTATGTGGAAAAAGTGTAAACTGAAAAAGTTTTTTTTTTCAAATTTTCAAAGGGTCAGATTTTTCGTTTTTCTCGGGAGAAAGTCGACTTTCGGCAAAATCGAATTTTTTAGCCGGGTGAACGTTGATTCCAACTATTTAAGCGACGGACTATTCAGAACTCTCAAAAGTATGTGGAAAAAGTGAAAACTGAAAAAAAAATATTTCACCGGCGGTCACAGGGTCAGATTTTCTATTAAATTTCTTAATAGATGCCTCACTACGGTATTTAATAAATATTCCATTCAGCTCCGACCGCAACCAACCTTGTAAGCATGAACGCTGTTCGTCATTAGCAGAAAAGCGCTGGCGACCATGCTGGGCACATCGCCCCAAATGATGATCAGATTGATGAATTGGACACTGAGATAAACCCCCAGCATGAAGATAAAAAAAAAAATGAATACACAAGATACAGAAATCGGAACTTATCCTTCGGCGGCCACGTGCCGAAATACTTGATCATAGTCAAAGATATTTGGATATGGAAATTCGGTGGCACTCGTCGCAGCGAGTTATTCTCCACGAGGAAAGGATCGCCGCGCTCTTGCATCTTGTACTGACGCATCGTGCGAGTGTTCCGAGTGGAAAGTGAAGGGAAAGGGGAGTATTATTTTAATAGTTGGCTGATGACAAGGGGTTCCGCTGTAATCACAAGGCTACAACTTCCGGGTGGAAGTCGAGCTATTCGTTACTTAGCTCAACCCCATCTCTAATTGACATTTCAGGAATTGGGTATTGCATATTATTGCGCCCTGTAATTTATGCCCCTTGTTGTTTTCAGTCGATATCTGGAAAATTGCGGGGTCTGCTGCACGTGCAGCACGACTGGAAATTCTCAAGGCAGTTGAGCGATTTTTTTTTTCGATAGGTAGTTGAAACGACATTTCAGTTGCTAATTTAGGAGTGAACAGAGTATTGTGTACTTGCTCAGCACCTTCAGTACAGTGATAAGCATGTCAACCAATTATAATTACCGTTAAATTGTGAAGCTGTCAATGTTTAACATAAATCTTAAAATTTTAAATATTAAAGTAAGTCATTACAATAATTTGGTTATTTCCTTTATCGGAGGTATTTCTTGAAAACTCTGCGAAGGGCTAAATCGACTCAACCCGTTTTAAAACTTAAATTTATTGCTCTAAATTCAGCAGTCAAGTGGTAAAAGAAGATGAGTCAATTTTGACTATTGTCCAGTTTTCAATCAATATCTCGGAATCTAAAGGAGATAGCGAAATTTTCGTAATTACATTTGTTGTAGCACTCAATCGGCTCTACAAAAAAGGTTATTACAAAAATTTCGCCATCTCCCTTAGATTCCGAGATATTGATTGAAAACTGGTCAATAGTCAAAATTGACTTATCTCCTTTTACCTCTTCGCTACTGAATTTATGGCTTCGCTACTGATTTTTGAAGGCTCAAATGTATATCACCTTAAATACCACATATATTGTAAATATTAAATATATATTCTGATAAATACTATATTTATGAGAATTTTTCAGTATTTTCCTAGAGATTTTTCAATTGAAAATTAATATTTTTCAAACGAAATAAATATTTTCCCCTACATTTCCGAAATGAAAAGGCCTGTTATTCTTGCAACTCATTAGACAGACTCCGCACAATTCTAACTGGATAGTTGTCTGTGGCAATCATTGGCGTACGCTCCTATAGTTTACGAACTGTAGCTTTTCCCGTCATTCGTCATTGTTGCAACAATGCCTGGCTGCTCGTTACATGTATAAATGCGTCGTCGCGATAAAATGAGCTCAGTTTGGTGCTTATTACCAACGTAGACATGATACTTAAACCGCGAATGTGTTTTGCATTATTTTATCATCGAAAGTTACTGAATAATCGGCCTGTTAGAGCGCTGCGATGTTTGTATTCAAAAAATTTCGGCGAATCGAGGCAACAGTGGGACAATAAATCATTTGGCACAGCTTCACATTTAAGATCAGCGGGGAAATCAGTTTTGCATCGACCTACAATCGATGAGAATAACGTCTTCAGGAGTCGCTATGAAGACGTGGAAATACCCTCTGATTATATTCATCAACATGTGTGGAAGGATGCGCATAAATGGTGGAATGAAATCGCACTTGTAAAGACTATTTCCTCAAATACTTTTTTTTATTATTCTCGGTTGCGAGGCGTCATAACAGGCTTGATGATAGAGTTGAGGGAACGGGGTTTCACGCACGAAAATATTTAACAGAAAAACCTAACGAATTCGCTAGACAATTCTATTGGATTTCTATTGAACTTTCTATTCGTTATGGGCCGATTCTAGTTCTATAGAATTTCCTCGGAGCGAATTTTCCAATTTTTTTGTTTGATTTTCTTGATGAAAAAAAAATAGAATGAAAAAAAAAACGTAGAAAATTTGAGCGGACGTTGCATCAAAAAATCGAATTCTATTGACTTCTATTTTATTTTTATTTTATTGGACATTTCAATAGAATCGGCCAAAAAATAATAGAAAGTTCAATAGAAATCCAATAGAATTGTCTAGCGTAGCGCATCATTATTGAAAAAATCATTGTCCGAATACCCCGAATTTTTCAATAATAATGCTCATTTCTCACCCTCACTTGAATTTGTTGGCGACAATCGAAAAATAAAACTTCAAACCTTGATTTTAGCCTATTCGCCATTTTTTTCTCCAAACTTAATGATTTGTTGGAAAATTCCAGAAATTTTCAATCGAAATCATATTCCAAAATTATTGAAAATAAGAAAACAAACAAAAACATTCGAAAATTGATGTCTCACGATCCGATTATTTATTCCCAGCTATTTTCATTGACACAGCAATTCCTTATTTGTTATTGACCTCACAATATGCAGAGGCCATGGGAAGTCGAGTTTATTCATTTCTCATTTTTCATTTTCCTGTCGGCTCTCCGGCACACGAGCGATCAATTTAAACATAGGATTGTGATTGGAATTTTATTATTCATATAATATATACTATATTAAATATCTTTTATACCTATATTTTTTTTTCACAATATGACATCAATATTTATGTAAAAAAAAAAATTAACGTCATGTTTTGTTTTTTGTTAGAAAAATGATAATTATATCTTCAAATTATGTAGGCACGAATGCACGAGGTGAATTGGAATCCCCGACGCTTAATCATTCTTTCCTCTTGGAAATTTTATTTACTATTCTTCAATCAATTTTTTAAACTCCACTAATTCTTGATTTAATTGATTTTATTATACGAAAATTTCTAATACAGAGGAAAATTTATCAACAAATATTTTATCCCTAAGTTACAAGATTGCTATTATATCATTAATATTGTGTCATTTAAGGGTTCATTTCTTGTCGGTGATTATTAGACAACCGAAACGAAAAACTATTATCGGGAGCAAAATACGTATGGGAGTATCGAATAACGAAGGAGTAGTGCTAGAAATGACATTTCTTGCGTGTACAGAGAATGCAATTTTCTTTGAACTACTAAATCTATTTTTGCGATAAAAAATCTTTCATTCCGACGCACTCTCTGCATGTTTGGCACAAAAAAATTATTTTTTGATAATTTTCAAAAAACTATTTTCTTGGGACAAGTAAGACTTGTTTGAGAACTTTGTCGTTTTTCTCTCAGTGTATTAAATTCTTTCGTGCCTGTAACCAATCGTAATATTCCTGCATCAGGTATGTGCGCAGACTGGGCGAATGTACACATACAAACAGCTCCGGAAATCATGCGGAAAGTTCGCAACATCCCTACGGAGGAGCAAATTGCTGCCAGGCACAACTCTAGCAGTCGTCCTCCCAAACATTCCTGAATACGCTATAGTCGTTCTAGGCGCCAGTGAAGCTGGAGTTCGGGTAACTTATTTCAATGCATTCGCTGATTTCGCGATCATCGAGTGTTTTTCGCGATACGCTATCTTCGTGCGATTTAACGCGTTATCACAAAGTGAACAAATTCCATGCTATATCATGTAATCGCGTGACCTTTCAGTTAACGTTGATGAATCCTGCCTTCACAGCATACGAATTGAGCCGACAGCTTGAAAATTCAGATGCCACAGCGGTTATCACGAATACCGCGAATTATGCTACTGTTATGGAAGCGATTAAGATGGGCAACATCTCGATTCAGTCACCAGTGATTGTTGCCACTCATGAGAGAGACGTACCCTCTGGTGCCGTCGACTTCCGAGATCTCGTTTCTGACGATGTCGAGGAATTCGAAAAGACTCAGGAGAGAATGACTATTGATGCTAAAAATGATACTGTGATTCTGCCGTATTCGAGCGGAACCACGGGACTGCCTAAGGGAGTTGAACTTACTCACAGGTTTCAATGACTCTCTTTTTTCCATTTTTCTCACGCATGAACATATTTAACCCTCGATCACTCCCTCAGTGAGTGCGGCACCATCCATTTTCGTTTTTTTACATTTTAGCGTGTTTCTGGACGCTTAAAAATGCTGAAGAAATTAGAGGTCCTAGTTCAATCCTTTTATTAAGCGTTGACGTTGTCCGTTTTTTTCACGGGAAATTTGTTTAGCTGAAAAAATTGAACTACGGGACTGCCTGAAGGAATTTCATTTACTAACAAGTTGCAATCATTCTTATTTCCATCAATTCTCATGTACGAACATATTTAAGGGGTAACAGAAGGCTACCGTTTCCTCGAAATTTTCGAACAATTTCAATATTATTAATATTTTTAATAATATATATTTTTATTATATATATTTTTATTTTTATTATTAATATTATTAATATTTTTTGAACCCAAAGCACATTGATCTTCATTATCATTTCCTGGAGATTAATGTGCTTGGATTTGTAAAAATATCGATAATATTCAGCAGGAATTTTTTTTCAAAAAATTTGGAAAATTAGTGGCATTCGGTTACCCCTTAACCGATTAATCGTTTTAATTGAATTGGACTTTTCTGTGCAACTCATTCTATTGAAATTTCATGAGGAAAAATTTTCAGACATCTAGTGGCTAATTTGAACCAAATGAAACACCCGGAATGCGCCATCCTGGAGCCGACGATCAATGGATTTCAGGACATTGTCCCCGCATTCCTTCCTCTGTACCATATTTATGGTCTAACTGTTTGTTTGTTAGGTTCTTTAAGGTAATGATGGTTGTGTTCAGGAGCGTAAATGCAACACCTCGGGAGGGAACAATTAGAATTCAATTGTGAAGTGGTAATTGCACTGAGGAAAAAATTTGTTCTGCCGAAAAATTATATGTTCCCCTGAAGAGATCTTTTGTCGCGTTGAATTAATTTACTTGTGGACAAAAAATAAACTATTGGACAAATATTTCTAAATTTCTTAAGAAGGATTTTATAAAATAGTTCAGAATTTGGATATCTTTGTCCGGTAAACACTTATAATTTCCATGGAACAAATGATAATTTCAAGAGGAAACTACAATTTTCTTGCCGATAACTGTGTTATTGGGAAAACTAAATAATTTCGAGGGGACAATTTTTTTTGGAAAAAAATATTCTTTCCTCGTCAATGTATTCTTCTATGGTATAAACCTGTGGAGTTCTCTCAGATCACATGATTGTCGTACAATAGATTATATTTTTTTCTGCCAACAGTTGGAATTCTTCTAGGGATATTTCTGATGGTCACGACAAAAATTTGATTTTTGTGAAAGATGTTAAATTTCCTTCTATCAAGTTGGTCAATTTCCCTCAAGTAAATCTGTTCCACTCGATCAAATATTCTCACGTGGAAAACACAATTTTTCGGAAGAGCCAATTTTTTCTCTCATTGCGCTAGATTTTTGTACGAAATCCCTTCACCTACTGAATATTCTTCTCGTGGATCTTTGCAGTTATGGCGCAAAGATCATTTGCATGTCCAAATTTACATCGGACACTCTGCTGAGTGTATTGGAAAAATATCGAGCGACGATATTCCTCGGCGTGCCCCCGGTGATTCAATTGATGATCAACGACGATAGATTCAATGAGAAACATCTGGCTAGATTGAAAATCTTGGGTTCAGGAGCGGCACCCCTCACTCACGAGTTAATCACAAAGTTCCGAGCGAAAATGGGATCGAGTTTTAGGTTCTCTCAGGGCTACGGATTGACAGAGACCTCACCAATGATAACATTGGGGAAAAACGCATCGACGGAATCAGTTGGTTTATTGATTCCCAATACACAAGTGAGGATCGTTCATCAGGAGGATGATCCCGGGAGAAATCTCGGGGTTGGGGAGATCGGAGAAATTCTCGTGCGAGGACCGCAAGTGATGAAGGGATATTACAAGAATGTTAAGGCTACGGAGGAGTGCATGGATAAAGAGTGGTTCAGAACTGGGGATCTGGGATACATCGATGAGATAGGTAGAAAATATATCTCACGTTTTTCAATATTTGATATTTTTGGTGAGGAAAAATTATAAAATCGAAAAAGGCTTTCTTCAAAAAATAGGGAACTTGCAAGATTTTTATTTAAATTTCTGATATCAAGTTTGAGACCTGAATATTCATTTTTCGTTCACAAACTTTTAAAATATTGTTCATTAACCCTAGCCTGGTCACCAAACGCGACCCTGCGACTTGGTCACCTCCGCGGGGATGCGCGGGGAATCGCTCAGCGGAGTTTTTAAGAAATATCTCCGAATCTAAGGGAGATAGCGAAATTTTCGTAATGAGCTTTTTCATAGCTCTTAAGTCGCTCCACAAAAAACTTCATAACAAAAACTTTGCTATCTCCCTCAGATTTCGAGATATTCATTGAAAACTGGGCAATAGTCAAAATTGACTTGAACCGTTTTACCGCTTCGCTAATTTCTTTTTGTTTTCTTATAAAAAAACTAAAAAATCGCGTGACGTAATATTTAAATGGCCCAAAAATACGAGAAATTGACTTTTTCCACTACTGAATCCCTCTAATTCCCCTTAACCAGGACAATTATTCATCACCGGACGTATAAAGGAACTCATCAAGGTACAGGGGTCTCAAGTATCCCCCGCAGAACTCGAGAATATCCTCTACGGCCACGAGAATATCGCAGACGCTGCTGTAGTCGGTGTCCCGCACCCCAGATTCGGCGAAGTGCCAAAGGCATTTGTTGTAATCAAAGCGGGTGCAAAACTCACAGAGGACGAGATCAAAGACTTCGTTGCCAAACGCGTTGTCAAGTACAAACGACTTGCTCATGTTGTTTTTACTGACAAAATAATAAAAAGTGCTGCTGGAAAAATACTCAGGAAGGAACTCCAGAAGTTGTGAAGCTCAGTGAGTTCTAATTAATTTAAATACACCTGTGAAAAAATTTAATAGAAAAACCTAATGAATTCGCTAGACAATTCTATTCGATTTCCATTGAATTTTCCATTAGTTTTTTAATAAAATTCCATTTTTCTGTACAACTTATTCTGTTGAGATATTTTCTACAGAATTACCTTGGCTTAATTTTTCTGAGTTTCCTTGTTTGATTTGTTTCCCCAAGAAAAAAAAATTGAATGAAAAAACTTGGAAATTTTGAGCTGAGGAAATTCTATTGGACATTTCAATAGAAATCCAATAGAATTGTCAAGCGAATTCGCTAGGTTTTTCTATTAAATTTTTTCATTCGTGCATTACTTCCTCAAATAGCAATACCACAAAATGACTTTCATTTTACAACTAAATAGACTTGTGTTCATAATAAACCCCTGAAACTCATGGGCTGGAGGAATCACACCGTAAAATGTTCCCTAAAATAATTACGAAAATAAATTTTTCAAATGACATTGTTGACACGAGGATGAAACGTCTTCTGGATGAATAATAACCGTAAAAATTTCATTTATTCATCTTCATCAACACCAATAAACAATTCAATTACCATAGTTATTCATAAAAAAATTACGAGTCAATAATTTATCATAAATTTCCATTCGATTTCGTCAATCATTAAATCCCCTTCGTCATCAGTAAATACAATAAAATCTAATTAAGCGGATTCTTCATCACCAGACCCGCAATTTTCACTCTCCCTTGCAAGTCTTTTCTTTATCCTCGTGCACTTGGGGCAACAGTGGTTCCGTTTAGACCAGCAGACTCGATGGTGCACAGCATTGCACTGATGACAGGAAACGGCAGAGGCGTCCCACGGAAATATGACCTCATTATTCCCACATATTTCGCACAAATGTCCTCTCGCATGACACAACTCGCAGGATTCAGTGATGTGATTCCTCATTGCGACATATGCAACAGTTATTTCCTCCATGAGCACTCCACTCTGCAGATCGATGAGATCTTTCATTGAATAGTTTCCAGAGTTCTCGATCATGTGGGTGCGGAGACCTACGCGCCAGGGGAGACCCTGGAAGTCGGCGTCTGGGCAGAAGACCAGGTATTTTTTCATCATTTGGAGTTCTTCTCGCAGTCTCTGAAATTTTTTGATCATGTCATTTTGAAATAAATTGATCAATGGATTAGTTGATTCGTTAATTCGTTGATGAATCACTTCATTAATGGCTCAATTCTTTTATCTGTTGATTAATCCGTTGTGTGATGAATTAGTTCGGAAATTAATTGATTAATTTATCAATTTATGAACGGAAATATTTTGTAAATGCAAACGATTTCATTGAAAAATTTAGCTGTTTTTTCTGTGCGTTTTCTTTCATAGAAATGCTCAATGGAAAATGGGCTATAGAAAAAATGAATTAAATTCAGTTCTTCTATTTAATTAATTCTATTAATTTTCTGTTTTTTTGGTTGATTTTTACAATAACGAGGAAAGCAAAATAAAGTGGAAAAACCTTGGAAAATTGATGTCGAGGAATTCCTATAGAAAATACTTCAACAGAAAAAGTTTAACAGAAAGATGAAATTTCACTAATTTTTTCTACAAAATAGCTTCTATTGGAGACTTTCCATTAAAAAAAAATAATTGATTTTTCAAAAGATCTTGAATAGAAATCGATCTATTAATTTATTAATTGATACCTCAATTTTTTAATCAATTTATCGAATACTTGAGACAGTAATTTTTAAATTAACGAATCAAAACATAAGGAAAAATTTCACAGGACAACGTTGTCTCAATTGCTTTTCCCTCTTTAAAATCTAAAATATATTCCCGATTTCTAGTGAATTTTACATCAAGTAGGAGCCGCTAAAAATTATAATTAAACAATCAAAAAATTCTAATAATAATAATAATAATAATAATAATCCTACAAAGTTACCTTCAACACCGATAAATCAGGTACAAGCGTAAATAGTTGCGGATTTAATTCCTCTAGTGGTAATACCGGTCGTTCATTTAATAATCCAAGCAATTGAGAAGCAGAACGACTGACTTTCCTCGGGTCTAGATCCCAGTTCCTTATCACTCTCGCTGGAATCACAGCTAGAGTGTTCCAATGACATCTCTGACAGAAGTACAGGCCTGTGTAGTCACATAGTCTCGGTTCAACCCAGGTGGAGTCTAAATGATAACGACAACGAGAGAAATAAAAATTACATTAGATCCTTCAGTTGAGTTTGCCTGAGATCTATCAGTAATTCTTCTATTCTTCTGTTTCATTGGGAATGTTTATACCTGTTTGTCTGAAAGGACTGCCAAAGCATGGCAATGACAGACTTTTTGCGGAAGCTTGCAAATAAAACGAGGCATTTTTTGGTAAATATTTAATTCTCTGAAAAAATGTCTTATGAAAAAATAGAGTGGAATGACAAAATATACGGAATATTTTTGATGTTTTAATTTTTTCGGGAAAATAGTAAACTTACTGAAGGTTATTTTAGTGTGACACTCTGCACATCTGTACAATTGAGCTGAGAGTCCTTTTTCAGGGCAAATTTCCTTCGTGAAGATGTACCCTCCAGCCTCACTCGCCACGACATTGGCGCAGACTCTACGAACGTCTGTTATGCACTTCCAGTGACAGCAATATCCGCAATCTGAATTTACAGAAAACCCATCAATATTTTGAATGATTAATTTATAGTGACGATTAATAATTACCACTGCACATGTACCAGGACTGCAGCATCATCCAAATAGCTGCACTGCAGTGATCACAGTACATGGGACCAGAACTGGAGATCTGATACTTCTGTGGCACCAGATGATGTCCCAGTATCACTTGGGTTTCCAAGGAATTGGCGTCGGACGTCTCTCGTAGCTCTTGGGCCCTCAATCTCAACTCAATCAATCTCCTCACCAGCCACTTTCTCTCTTCTGTGCACTGGTCACTCTCGAGGACCATCTGCTTACATTTTTCCACCATCTCGGTTAGATCTTCTAGGGTAGCTGTCTAGAGGAGACATTTTAGAATTTGAAATTTGGAATATGGAAATGGATTTGTTCCAATTTTTTAAATTAAAATTCGCATGTCGTTTGTAGAAGATTAAATTCAATTCTTAGTTTTTCAGGAAAAAAAACTAAAATAACTTTAAGTCAATTAAAAGTCATTTAATTCTCCGAAACATCATCTTATAAAAAGTAGATATAATAAATAAATATTCAAATATATAAACAAAATAAAAAGCTAAATGGAACTTGAATGAAAAAGGATTCTTAAATATATGAATTATCAAATTAATGAATGGGTGAATATATATTAAAATATTCTTGACACCTTTGACGAAGACAGAAGAGCTCCAACAAAAAAGAATTCAAGAATTTTCGTCGAAAAAAATTCTCTCTAAATTTTTAAAATAGAAATTTACACATTTGTGGAAGATTTTGTTATAATTCTCAGTTTTTCAGAAAAAAAAAATCTATCAATTTCGACTTTTAAAGTTCCAACAATAAAATTTGAAAAAAAAAAGAAAATTTAAATGGAACTAGAATGCAAGACGATTTCATAAAGAAAAATATAAGAAGAACTTAAAGATTCTCAGCAGATAAATGAACACATGAATTATCAAATCACTGAATGAATGCATTCATACTTTCGATAACGACAGAAGCGCTTCCACAGACTTCAAGCTGTAGGGAACAGCAACTCGACTCCCCGAGCTATCATCTGCATCACCAGGTGCATAATCAAAGGAGGATGATGGTGTTGACGCTGTCCCAGAGCTGTTGGACCTCGTTCTCTTGGCATAATTCAGCTCCGAGGTGGAACCACTCGTGTTGGCTGTCAATCCCGCCATGTTTCACCTCTCCAAACTCTAATTCTCGATATAACAGTCCATTTCACTAATTACTAATCAAATAATTCGACTGATTAACATCAAACTGCTGTCGCACTGCGTTACCAAGCCCTAATTACACATCACCAGTGCCACTTTTGATGTGAAATCATGGAAATTGGGTGGAGTGAAGGGAAGCAAGTGAATCATTGCTGTTTGCAACTTGCATGCTGCAATTGACGATCAGCTGATCGCTGATCGTCCCAAGGTTCCCCCTCTCGACGTCTCAGTGTTTGGCGTTGTGACTCTCGACGTTTGCACAATCGAAAAATTCAACAGAGGTTTAACTGAATAAAAGTAGATTAATAAATATTGTTTGTGATGTTTGTAGCTGCGGGGGCGATTGCGGTGTTTTGAATTCATCTTGTGGAAGGTTGGAACGTCTTCGAGGATAATTGAGGTACGTTCGTAGCAGTTTGAGGGGTTCTAACCTCCCTTAGCTCCAAAGTAAACAGACTTTTATCGATAACTTCATTGAAACTTCTAATGAAAAATGCAGATGAACTGTACACGTACGAAAAAATTTAACAGAAAAACCCAGCGAATTCGCTAGACAATTCTATTTCTCTTTTCTTTTCATTATGAAAATCAAACAAAACTTTTAGACAAGTTTTCCCTTTTAAAATTCATATTTTTTTCTTTTATTCCCTCGCATTCAATACATTGCGTTTTATTCTTCAAAATTTATAAAGATACAATCTAAAAAAACCTAGCGAATTCGTTAGACAACTCTACTGTATTTCTCTTGAACTTTCTATTAGTTTTTGGTCGATTCTATTGAAATGTTCAACAGAAAATCTATAAAAAGTCAATAGATTTCGATTTCCCTATATAATTTGTTCTATTCAGACATTCTCGATAGAATTTCCTCGGCTCAAATTTTTTTTTTTCCATTCGATATTTCTTTCCTTTTCGTCAGGAAAATCAAACAAAAAAACATGAAAACGTGAAAACATTCTCATTCTTCTTTTCAGATTCCCACCCACAATGAGAAAAACGATAACCTTCGGTAAAATCGGGGCGTCCCTCCCCAAGCCCGAAGACAAAATACCCCCCACCCCCAGTTCATCGCCAGCCCCCTCCGGTTTCGGAACCTTCGGTAAAAAACCCGCGGCGAAACCCCCCACCGAGATCCACGAGATTCGTCCGGAGGACGAGGAAGAATCGGAAAATCTCCGTAAAATAATGGGTATGACGGGATTCGGTAAGAAGGCAAAGGCTTTCGACGTCCAAGAGATGATGGAGAACATAAAAAAAACCGTGCGATCCTCCGAGCCCCCTAAAACCGACGACTCATCCCGAAAAAATACCGAAACCACACCTGCGCCCGATGACGAGTCCTCAGAGGAAGACGATGACGTGATCGGTCCATTACCCCCACCCCCCGCGAACACCTCGGATGATCCAAAATCCTCCAAGACAAAGGACAAAAGTCGAAACAGCGACACCTCAGACGACTCTGATGACTCCGACACGGAGGAACTGACCCTGATGGAGAAAATCCCCTGCACCCACGAGGTATCAATGGCCCACGGTACAAAAGCGATAACAGCGGTAGCAGCAGATCCTGCTGGCGCCCGCCTCGCCTCAGGATCGATCGACTACGACGTAAGTTTCTGGGATTTTGCGGGAATGGACTCCTCCCTCCGTAGCTTCCGAACCCTCCAGCCCTGCGAGAACCACCCGATCAAGTGCCTCCAGTACTCGATGACTGGAGACGTCATCCTCGTGATATCGGGTTCAGCGCAGGCTAAAGTCCTCGATCGCGACGGTTTCGAGAAATGCGAGACGGTGAAGGGTGACCAGTACATAACGGACATGGCGAGGACGAAGGGCCACACAGCTGGCCTGAACTCTGGTGCCTGGCATCCCTTCGTCAAGGAGGAGTACATGACTTGCTCGCAGGACAGCACCTGCCGGCTCTGGATACTGTACAGACCGAAGAGGCATAAGGAGTTGATCAAGTGTCGAGCGCAGAATGGGGTCAAGACGATCCCCACGACGTGTGGTTACAGTCGAGAGGGGACAGTGGTTGCTTGTGGATGCATCGATGGAAGCATCCAGATGTGGGATCACCGAAAGAACTTTGTCAATCCTTCGTTGATTCTGAGAGAGGCCCACCAGAGTGGGGCTGGAATCTCTAGTTTGAGCTTCTCCTACGTAGGGGACCTGTTGGCCACGAGGTCTTGCGATGATACTCTCAAGCTGTGGGACCTGAGAAACTTCAAGAAGCCGATCTTCGTGGCGGAGGATTTGTTCTCCCGGTACGACACGACAGACTGCATGTTCAGTCCTGACGACTCGATGGTCATTACTGGTGAGTCTCTGAAGAAGGGTCAGACCCACGGGCGAGTGCTGTTCTACGATAAGAATAGTTTTGAGTTGGTGAATGAGATTAAGGTGACGAATTCACATGTCATCAAGACCCTCTGGCACCCGAAGCTCAATCAGATTTTTGTGGGGTGTGGTAATGGGATCGTTAAGGCGTATTATGACTCGAAGAGGAGTCTGAGGGGGGCCAAGTTGTGTGTCGTTAAGACACAGCACAAGCAGAATCACATTGAGATGATGTCGACACAGCAGATCATCACGCCTCATGCACTTCCCCTGTTCAGGCAGGACAGGCCGAAGTCCGTGAGGAAGCAGATTGAAAAGGATCGACTGGATCCTGTCAAGTCTCGAAGACCCGATCTTCCGATCACTTCGGGGCAGGGGGGGAGGGTGGTGTCATCGGGGGGAACGCTGAGTTCGTATGTGATCAGGAATCTTGGGCTGAGCAAGAGGATCGAGGACGATCAGGATCCCAGGGAGGCTATTCTGAAGTTCGCGAAGGAGGCGGAGGAGAATCCTTACTGGATTGCCCCGGCCTACAAGAAGACCCAGCCGACTACCATTTTTCAGAGTGACGAGGGGGAGAGTGGACCTTCCAGCAAAAAACCGAAATTGTAAAGGGAATGTTGTATTTGTGAGGATAATAAAGGTAAAGAGTTGTCAAGTACGATTTTTAATTAATGAATTTCGATTTGACCGTCATTTAATTATTACTAGTCAATTATAATCCTGGGCCATATTTGGTCATGTGTAAACACATTATGAAGAGGGGGTGCTATATGCTGCCCTTTCACCTTCAATGTTGCTGTATGAAACAATTAATGAAGCTAACCTAACCTTGTGAAGACTTGAATTTATTTCCATAATACAACACCTAACACATTACCTAGGTACCTACCTGGGTATCACCTAGGTATTTCGATTGGAATTCTATTTTTAATAAATTATAATTGTTTTTTCAATTCTGTTGAAGATTATGCAATTTTACCAACATTTTGGCAAGGAATGGTGAATAAAAGAATTAAATGGCAGTAGATCTTGAATTTTCTATAGAAATTCTTGGACATAAATAGTCGATGGAAATCTGAGGTCTCTACTGGTGAAATATGCGGTTTACACGTGTAACTTCTGCAGTTTAGAGTTTGCATTTATTATATCTCCGAGAGCATCGGTTTGCCTCTGGCAGGAGCGCTTACAATCAAACTAAACAAACTCTATCAGTAATTCGAGAGCTGTTGGAAGTACTTTTATCGAACTGGGCAAATAGAAATAGGATGATTAGACACGTTGCTTTTGTGTTGAGCAACTAGAGAGTTTCACACGTTTGCTCTTGCGATTCATAACTTCTATCGAAATGTAAACAAAAAAATTGAAAAAAACTGATGTAACAACTGAAATGAAATTATTTTGAAGAAGAAATACAGCAATTTTTGAGCGCACAGCCCGAAGACGCTCCCATGATGCCGAGGGTTTATCATTTTTAATAGTTTATTGATGGTTATTTATTGGTAAATTTCGTCAACTGTACGGAGTCATTGTTTATAGGTGTGTTTAAGCATATTTAGAATATGTTTTGGCAGTTGTAGTAGATTCGTGCACGAATTGTGCAGCACTCGTCCATTTGTACCTGACAACGAGATAAGTCGCTCGGGAAATGTGAAATTCCTCATGTTATTGGAAATGAAAAATTACTGAGCAGCGTGGGAAAAAAACACGCAGAGAATGTGACTTATCGATAGACGATGCAAATGTGAGGTTTATGCAGACGGAATAGACACTTTTTAGTGGAACTTTTATAATTCATCGTTTACATGATTTATATCTCCGAGAGCATCGGTTAGAATATAGAAACTTTTGCCAGAAGTTGCATTAGTTATTCGAGAGGTGTTGGAAGTACTTTTATCCGGTTGAGAAAATTGGTATAAGATGATTAGATACGTTGCTGTTGTATTGAGTATCTACAGAAAAAAATAATCATTAATAGCGGAGTAGTCACGAGAAATTTTCGTCTTGCACTGATTAATTGAGGAATGACTCACAGAGTGAAGAAGTGTTCCATCGAGGGAGAAGATATTTCCGCCAGTGAAGGATACGTTTCTGTGGAGTAACTCCAACGAAAATAACTTGAGCTGAAATTATATTATAGTATAGGATAACAACTAATTGACTCGTTGTTAATTGAATTGATAGTGAAATACCTGAGACTTTAATTCTGGTTTGATAAAGGATCGCGTGAGGAGTTTGTGGATCGCTACGGGCGTGAGCTTCATCTAAAATAGAAAAATATTAGACGCATAATGTGCTTCACTTTCAAAATCCTCGGTTTTGCCAACGTTCAATTTTTAAAACTATTAGATAGTCAAGAGTATTTAACCGTAAAGATCAGCTGACCCTGAAAATTATCTAACCTTCAAAGACATTATGAATTGTATCTATATAGAAGATAATATAGATAATCAAGGTGATAAATTCATGAAAAAAGTGCTGAAATGGCAAAACCTAATGCCATGAATTCTCAACCAGAAAGGAATGAAAAAAATCTGAAATATAGTTTAAAAAATTTGTTCAACTTCTAGGTCCTGGATAAAACAAGTTGAATGTAATCTGAGGAGGATGAATAATTCTAAGAAGCGTTCAAAATTACGAGGTGGTCAACAGTCGCGGGTGCCGCCATCTTACTTGCATACCACCTCCCTCTGCCGCAAGGGGGACGGCCATCTTTGAAGATGGCGGCGCCTCCACCTTGTATTTTCAAACATTTCTTAAAGTTCTTTATCCTCTTCCAGCCACCCTCAACTGGCTTCATCCAGGTTCTACAAAATGAACAATTCTTTAAAGCCACCTTTCAAATTTTCCCATTCCCTTTTTGCTGAGAATTCATGCGGCAAAATTTTCCCGAGAATTACACGATTTTTCTTCACTCCCGAAGCTTATTAACATCCCTAGAATTGCATATCCAGCAAAAACAAGAGTCTCCATCCCCCGAAAAACCCTCACAAACCTCATTTATGATCTTAGTAACTCCGAAAGACAGAACGACAATGGGAAACATTTCCATCGAGAGATAGCACACCGAGTTGACAATAGTGAGTGGCTTCACATCATCATTCAGCAGCAGCATCATGAACAAATAGTACGACGAGTAGATAACAGTCCCACTCAGCACCGAAATTACCAGAAGAATGGGAAACGAGTACAGACTCGAGATATCACAAACGAGCTCATATAGAACTTCATGAGACACTTTGATGACGAGTAAATTCTTGCTGATGACGTCGTCAAGCGTCCGCTCCAAGGAGTTGAAGTAATATGGGGCGGCAAAAGCCGCCGAGGAGATGCGGTTGAGTCCCTCATTCAGAGCTCTGAATCTGTCCCTCAGGAGCACCAGGACGAACGTGTACTGGAGGATTAGCCAAGTGAATACGAAACTGGGGATTATTATCCCGACGAACGTCGCCTTGAACCACTTCTCGAACTCCACCAGATCAGTCCAGAATAGGTTGATCCAGATGGAGACGTTCAGGACGAAATAGAGACGCAGCTGGAGGCCACTGAGGTTGCGGTGCTTCACGTAGGCTAGGGTCCTCATAGTCTCGTCCTCGTGCTGCCATGTATTGGCTATTCTGATGGCGGTCTTTTGGTTCAGAATTATGTACAACCAGACTACGACCAACACAACCAGGCCTATTGAGGCCTTAGCTAGCGAGATCACCTGAGCTGTCGATGTTTTCCGCTCGAACTCAACCCTGTCTATCGCGGCTATCGAGCTGGGACTCAGGATCGCCACGATGACCACCAGGATGAGGTTGTAGAGAGTCCCGATGTGGGAGTGAACGAAAATTGGGGATTTGTTGGCGGGACGAGGGTTTACGGTGAACGGGGCTAGGCCCAGGATTTTGAAAACAGCGTAGGATAGTAAGGGGAACGAATTGGTCACCCACTGGGGAAGATGCATCATGCTTGCGGGCTTGTGATTCACTGAGGCATCCTGGGGTCAGTATGGATTTTCTGGGTCAGAGGAATGTGTGATGAGCTGGTGCGGGAAATGGAGTATTGATATTTGTGCTTGGTACGGTTGATGGTATCGGGGATGGGAAGGGCGGGGAGATGATGGAATTACGAGGGACAGGTGAAATGCGCCCTTGGGGGTGTTGTTTATGAGCATTTTATTTGCGATTTTCTATCGATTTCGCAGGTTCGTTGCGGATTTTACATTTTTTGTGGGTGGGAATGCATCCGATGGCTGATTATTTCAAAGATTGTTCTATGTAAAAATATGCAATCATCAAGTAATAAAAAAAATTGCGGTAATTTATTCATTCATTCATTCATTTATTCCGTTATCCAATTATTTATTACTTACTTATCGCAAATGATGAAGGCGCCGACGACCAATTTCATACTTTGTAGAAATCAAAACAGTAATTTCATCTTTCTATATAATTTTTCCTATTGAGACATTTATAACAATTCCACGACATAAATTTTCCAAGTTTTTTCCACGCTATTTGTCTTTTCGTTTTATTAAAAAAATTAAACAAAAAAACTTCAGCCGAGCAATTTCTATAGAAAATATTTTAATAGAACAAGTTGTAAAAAAAATCGAATTCTATCGATTTTTTCTATAAAATATGTCCCATTTTTTTAAATTCAGAATATTCAGTAAGATTCAGAGTAAACAAAACAACCCAAATTTCCAAAAATAATCGAGGCTGTTCATTAATTACAAAATAAAGAATCGAAAAATAACAGAAAAAATTGCAGGCGGCTGCATCTTCGATACAGCTGTAATTGTACGTGGATACGTCTATGGTCTTTCCTTATTTCTCGAATTTCCTACTCCTTGCGTTCCCTCGAATTTTCTGGAAACTCCTTGTATTCTCTAATTTTCTAGAAACTCCCTGAATTTCCTCGAAATTCCACGAAACTCATTCACTTCCTCGAAATGTTTAGAATTTCCTAGAATTCCGCTAGATGGCGCTGCCCATAAGAACCGTTTCCCTAAATGACCTCATATACAAACCCCAGACGTATCCCCGTCAAAAATCGTGGAAGTTCCCGCAATCAAACCTCCCGCGAAAACTGCGCCGCTAGAGCAGATCCCTGCAGCCGCGCCCCCCGCCACCTTCCCTACCCGCGAACCCCAACAAACTTTCCCCAGTCCCTACAAGAGGGCCGCAGTTCCCGGACAAGGGTCCCCTAGCGTGTGGTGAGTCAGGCCACCATCATCGCCCGCAGTATCGTCAACGTCTCCCCGTCTAATCAGTCTCCATTAGAAACTCCACCGAAAAAAAAATAAAAGAGAGCCCGAGCCAAACCCACCCCAAACGTCCATCCCCCGGAAAAAAAAATTGACGAACAAACAATCGCCATCTCCCCATCGCCCGGATGACCTTACATAACAAATAAACCCTTCGAAGTGATTTAAACCCAAGTGTGAGCCGTCGAATATGTGATAGTGTGCGTGTTCCCAGGCCCAATAAAAGCGAAAAAACCTCGGCGTTGAAGCTAGCCCCCGAAGCTCTTTAAAAATTAACCCCCCCCCCCCCCGCGATGTTTCACCACGAGTACGAGAAACGTCTCCTGAAGCCGTGCAACGAGGGCAAACGCGACTCCCAGTCGAGCCCGATGTCCCCCACATACTTGTCCCCAACAAAATCAACGAACAACAGTTACGACCGCTTCATCCCAACGCGCTCGGGTAACAATTGGTACACGACATTCTCCATGATCTCGGAGAACAGTCGTAACGGCCTGGTGCCGAAGAAAACCCGGGAGAACGGCGAGGGGAGTCGCGATGGCATAGCCTACTCGAGTCTCCTGAAGAACGAGCTGCTGGGAGCTAGTATTGAGGATGTCAAGAGCCAGTCCGAGGAGCGGGGAATATACTCGGTCCTCCAGGGGAGGAATTTGTTCAAGTATGCGACACCCACCAAGGACAGAGCCCTCCTGGACCAGAGCAGCCCGTACTCGCTCTCGCCACTGAGTGCCAAGAGCCAGAAGCTCCTCAGATCGCCCAGGAAAACCACTCGGAAAATATCGAGAATTCCCTTCAAGGTTCTCGATGCACCCGAACTCCAGGACGACTTCTACCTCAATCTGGTGGACTGGTCCTCCCAGAATGTACTCAGTGTTGGCCTCGGGAGCTGTGTCTACCTGTGGTCAGCGTGCACCAGCCAAGTAACGAGACTCTGTGATCTGTCTGGGGATGGCAACTCCGTGACTTCAGTCGCTTGGAATGAGAGGGGTAACTTGGTGGCTGTGGGGACACATGTGGGGTACATACAGGTCTGGGATGTTGCTGTTAACAAGCAGGTTTGTTGGCCATTTTTTTGGGGGAGAGGGTGCAAGGAGCCCAATTGGGTAATTGAGCGCAGTCTAGACTCATTAGGGAGAGGAGGTTCTTTCCAAATGCTGAAAAGTCCATTTTCGTGGGAAAGTCAGTGAGTTGCTCTAATTTTGAAACTATTTGAAGGACCTTTGCTACATTTTTGCTCTATACACGGGGGTTTTTTCGTGAACTCGGAATTCTTGAACTCATTGGGACATTGAACATCACACTGAATTGAATTTCTAATAGATTTCCAATGAATGGAAAATGGTAAATTTCATTGAGTACCACAGAATTTGACGGATTTTTCAGCAACTAAATATGGGGAAAGTTCATGTGAATGGGTCTTTGCTAAATATTGAGTTATTCGCATTATTTCATTACTTGAGGGGCCTTTTTAGCCCATTTTTGCCCGATACACTGTTGGATTTTTTGAAATTTGAGAAATTGATGCATTAGAAGAGCTCGTGGAATCTTTTATTCAGCTTGGAAACTCGAGAAAATTGGGCTTTTAAATGATATCTAGAATTCTTGAACTCATTGTGAAAATTTAACATCACATTGAATTGAATTTCCAATAGATTTCCAATGGCAATTCCATTGAATACTCCAGAATTTGGCTGATTTTTTAGTACCAAAATATGTGAAAATTTCATGTGAATGGGTCGTTGCTAAATATTTCAAGATTTTTTACTTGAAATTTCAGGATTAATTTTCTAAAAATGTAGAGTAAGCAGACCAATAGACAAACCACCAAAAGATGGACGGTTTCAGCTTTTTAAATATTCTATAAATAATATTATAGGAATTGTACCGTTAGTTCAGATGTTTAAGAATAGCACTAATGTACAATCACACGAGGAAATGTTTCATCGATGAACATTTGGAATGTATCTATCTTCTGATCCAGTCGTTTTCCCATGATTCACATACTTTATTAGGTATAGAGTGCATCGTTAGCTCATTTACGTAATTTATCTATTTTCGATCTCTCGACGCACCTCAAATTCTCATTAACCGGCTATCTATTGATCTGCTTACCCCACCTTCGTGTAAATATTTCACTTCAAAAAATCGTGAGTAAGAATTTCTTAAGCCTCAGTTTCCCTATTTAGCAGTTTTTCAAATTGTCGCTAGAATTGTAAATCTTAGAATTAGAATCTTCAAATTTTTTATCGAAAAAATACATTATTAACTGGCATCCATTACACAGTTTTCCAAATTACCCGACTAGAATCGACCAGGCTGAATAAATTATTTTAAAAGAAGTGCCGGATGGAATCGACATGTGAATGACTTGAATATAATTATAATCACAAAGACAAACCTCTATATATTCACATTCTTATTTACTCAAATGCTATGTGGGAGATATAGAAGGCTGGTAAAAATGGAAGGCATCAAAATGTTTCTCACATCGACGAAAGAACCTGAAAAAAAATTGAGCAGACTGCGCTGAGTGAGAAAAAACGTTTTAATTACACTGCTACATTCTGAATTATAATTAATACTGTTCTCGAGAAATTCTCAATACACCCAAAAAAATAATGCCTCATTTTAAGATTTCAAAGGTCTCACAATAAGAGTTTCAATTTTAGACTTGAAACAATTCCACTTTCAGACCGTGACTCTCAAAACAAAACTTGTTCTTCAGTTTTAAAAGTCACAAAACTCCAATGAATTTTCGCAAAAGGAGCGACAGATTTCTGTGGTAGATTGTTCACGCCACCCACCCCATACGTCCCACGCAAGAACCTTCTTCCTCTCGAAAATCTAAATGAATTATGAGGTGGAATCGTGGAATTTTGGACATAGTAGAAACCCCACTATTAACCCAAAATTAATTTAAGTCATCCCAATCTAAATAAATTTCTCCACCACAGGTTGCCAAGCTGCAGGGTCACAGTGCCCGAGTGGGAGCACTAGCGTGGAACGGAGAAGTGCTGTCATCAGGGAGTCGTGATCGATTGATTCTCCAGAGAGACGTGAGAACGCCCTGCATCGTGGGAGAGAGGAGGCTAGGGGCGCACAGGCAGGAGGTCTGTGGGTTAAAATGGTCGCCGGACAATCAGTATCTAGCCTCCGGGGGTAACGACAATCGACTGTACGTGTGGAATCTCCACTCGCTGTCGCCAGTTCAAACTTACACCGAACATCTGGCTGCTGTGAAGGCCATCGCCTGGTCGCCTCATCATCACGGTCTGCTCGCCTCTGGAGGCGGCACGGCTGATCGATGCATCAGGTTCTGGAATACACTCACTGGACAGCCCATGCAGTGCGTCGACACTGGGTCACAAGTTTGTAATTTAGCTTGGTCTAAACACAGCTCTGAACTCGTCAGCACACATGGATATTCACAGAATCAAATTCTCGTGTGGAAATATCCGAGCTTGACGCAGGTTGCTAAGCTCACTGGGCATTCTTATCGGGTTCTTTATCTCGCCATGTCGCCCGATGGTGAGGCTATTGTCACTGGGGCTGGGGACGAGACACTCAGGTTTTGGAATGTTTTCAGCAAAGCCAGGAGTCAGAAGGAGAACAAGTCTGGGCTCAATCTTTTCACTTCCATTCGGTGAATTCTTTCGGGGTTTGTCGGTTTTTTCCGGAGATTTCTTGGGGATTTTGACATTTGGGGGTTGGGGGACGATAGAAGAGGAGTTAAATTTGTCATGTGATGGGGGAATGGGAAATTGGGATTTTCATTGGATCTTCGAAATTGGGAAATGGGATTTAGAGAATTTTTTGACATTTCCATTTTTTTTCTTCCAATTTTTATATGTACATCAATTACATATGCACCATTTTCATCTCAATTCAACGGGAATTAGACTATAAGTCATTTTAATTTCTTGAATTTCTGGAATTCAATGAATAAAAATCAATTTTCCATTCCTCTCAATCGTCGTTTTCTTTTTTGAGATTTGTTGGGGCTTGTGGGGGCGAAATAAAGAGGAGTTAAATTTGTCATGTCCTGGGGAGAATGGGAAATTGTGATTTCCATTGGATCTTTGAAATTGGGAAATGGGATTTACAGAATTTTTTGATATTTCCATTTTTTTCTCCAAACTTTTATATGTACATCAATTACATATGCACCATTTTCATCTCAATCCAAGGGGAATTAAATTAGAAGTCATTTTAATTCCTTGAATTTCTGAAATTTAATGAATAAAAATCAATTTTCCATTCCTCTCAATCGTCGTTTTTTTAAGATTTGTTGGGGCTTGTAGGGACGAAAAAAATAGGAGTAAAATTCATCAAGTCCTGGGGAGAATAAAAAATTGCGATTTTCATTGGTCCATTGAAATTGAAAAATGAGATTTGTAAATTTTTTCGACATTTTCTTCTTTCCCAACGTTTATATGCACATCAACTACCTATGCACCATTTTCATCTGAATCCATAGGGAATTGAACTAGAAATCATTTTAATTTCGTGAATTTCTGAAATTGACCGAATAAAAATCAGTTTCCATTCCCCTCACTCAATACCAAACGAAAACTTTGAAATCCCGGAGAAATTTTCCTGCTGAGCACGGCCTGCTGCAATAATTCCACGAAATTAAAAAATTATAATCACCAACAATTGATTTTTCTACAACACTCCACTAATTTTTATACTCACATTATTTTTTCTGTGGCTGAAGTGCCTACGATTAATAATTCACAGGTTAAGAGGTTTCCACAGGCATTTTCATTTCGATTTTTTTAGTTATCACCAATCTATTCAAGTCATGTGTACAAATTCAAGTCGTGAAAAGGAATAAGAGACAATGATTTGCGAGAAGTTTACTATTTATAACAAAGATGAAATTATATTGATATATATGCATATTATAATATATAATTATTATTTACTAACCAATTGAGTGGGTGTGTGAGTGAGTGTTGAAATGAATCTGTAGATTTATTAAAAATTGGAGCTGGAAATAGTTATGATTTCTTCTCTATGTGCGATTCGAGTCTTTACAGCACTCTGAAAATTTGTTTTTTTT